AGCCAGTGGTTTCAATCGATACGTATTTAATCTTGTTTTAACTTAATCTTATTTTTATTTACTTAATCTAATCTACAGTCCTAATCTCCCGAGTCGCGAACTATGAACGCGGCCTTTCGGTTTCACAATCGTTATTATATCTTACAGATTTCGGTGAGAACACTAGTAGTAATATTTCCAGCAATCTAAAGCAGCAAACGCTTGCATCAAGCACCTAGCTTCTGGTGCATGACTCAGCGTCACCCAGTTGGCCGTAGTTCCCAATGACAGTAACCGACGCACGCATCTAATTGTCACTGTATTTTGTATTACACAGGTTTGGTTAGGTGGGGGCTCATCTCCGACACGCTTCGGTAAAGGACAGGTCGGGTACGCATTTAAAGTGTACGAGAAGTGTGATTGAAGGACAGCTATCTTGTGTGGATTTAAACATTTAAGACCCCTTACTGGGGTCAATCGTGTTGTTGACTCACTTTGCACACTGCAACTCTGCCTTCAAAGAGCGTCAAAAAATTCCGGGTATGAGCGGTGTGAAGTGGGGGTTCTATCAATACATTTCCGTGCATTTCATCATCATCACATTTATTACGCCACCGCGACCCGTCCCAACCGTCCAACGGCTCCATGAGGCTCACCGGCGGGGGTGGACGCGTTCTGAGCGGCGGCAAGGGAGCGAGCACGGGCCACTCTGCCACTAATATTTTAATAGATCAAGAACTCCGAGTGTCTATTGCGCTCTCACTTCTGTGCAATAAGGAGAAAAGAGTAGGGCCGAACTCGAAGAACAGCCTTTGTTTCAATCGGCTTCAACTTGATTGTGTACTCCTCAGGGTTTGCACATGAGACACTCGACTTCCTTAAATTTTCAAAAAATCCCGAGAATAATACCTGAGTGCTAAGTGGGTTGGGGGGACCACGCGGCGACGCGGTGCTTTGTTCGTCTGTTCCTCCAAAGGCTTAGTCCCCGATGGCGCGTATTTATTTCGAAACTGCCACATGATGGCGGAATAGTATTTGCTCCTGGGACTGATACCCAAGTTGTTATAGTGCCGGAAATCCAGCACCATTCGAGCCAAGTGGTGGCGGTGCTAGCCACTCCTCGTCCTTCCTTTGTGCGATGCCATTTCGACGTCACCACCACGCGCTCGCTGGTGACGTCGAAATGACATCGCCTCAACTCATGCACGTTAGAATCAATATCGATTAGGTATGAAAATATTGGACATTTTGATCCATTGGGCCGACCATATGTGGAACATGCTTCAAATGTGATATCTTACCTGAATCCACACGGATTGAAGTCCACTGACTCCTGAACTGATTATACTAGCATACATTTCATCAAATTGTTCACCACCCGATTTTGTAGAGTTTGGTTTTGGGCTCATGTAGACAACGACCTGCAGTCCACCTGAAAATTACCCTCCATTTGTGTAAGATGTTTGTTGTCTTCTCTTTCTGGAAATTTTCTGCTATAGAGGGGTAATTAAAAGGTTGCAGTGATGGTCTGCATGGTTGCACACCCGAGATTGTTGATTGGTAGGCAGATGGCAGATAAATAGCTGAGTGAGCATCATCGCTGCTGGTGTCATCAACGAGTACGCTCTACCCTGCCTCTCCGCTAAAACGGCTAGGGTCCGACGTCGAGGGGCCAGCAAATGCAGTAGACCCTTGGAGGGCGTGGACAGCCAATGAGGAATTCACCGTCGCGGGCAACGCCCATTTGGGCCATTTTTTTGTTTTTTTTTGGTGCCTGTCCTCGCGAAAAGGTAATCTCGTGCTTCCTTAGGGGTCCTGCATCTCTTTATAGCGGGGCATTCCCCCATCTTCAACATCCATTCTTCGTGCTTCCTGCCTTCAAGCGCATTTCCTTAGCCCCCCGGCCCCCTTGAGAAAAAAGCAATGACATAAAAATCGGCAACAACCTGAAATTCATTGTGAACCAGAGATACAAAAGCGTTCAACGCCTAATGATTTCTAGCAGAGGTCGAACGCATGGCGCAGCCTAGAGCGCTTGCCTCTGAAGCAAGTGATCTGTGTTTCAGTTGCAAGAAGAGTCAACTTTAGACATATGGATTTCTCGAGGAGCTCACTGCTACCTTTCTTCACAGCTAGGTCGAGCGTGAAGAATGCGGATTTTAGCCGCAAGTGGCGGATAAAAACACTTATTACTTACTTCGCTTGACGTTGACGAGGTTGGCGAGTAGGTTGGGGTCGACTTGGCCATCACCATCAGATAAATACCCTCTGCAAGAGATTTCTGTTAGCACAGGTTCAACTTATAGCAATCAAATCGTTCATCAATGGGCGAGGTAATGCAGTGGCATGACGAAGTCAGGTTCTCAGTTCTCAGCTCTGAGTCAACTCCAGATCAGTCTCGTCCGGACCAACCAAGCCTTCCATATCTCGGGGTGGTACCAGGCATGTCTGGTTGATGGTGTGGATGTGATTCTCGGCCCTTGACTTGGCCTGAGGCAGCGAAACATGTCTTCCGGAGGGAGGAAAGTGTAGCGCCCGTAGCGAACCTTACAAGGCTTCGAGCGTATCTGAGCCACCTTCGCGCCTCTGCCTGTCCTCCAGATAGCTGCCACAGATGATGGCCCCTCATGGATGCCTTTTCTAAATTGGTTAAATTTAGTTTAAGAAATGGAGCTGACCTCACAAAAACGGCTTTGTATTGACTATCTCTGAAACAGGCGAGCGCCATCGAACTAGCGGCATCACTGAGATCAAGGGCGAAATCGGTCGGATTCTGACAATCACAACTTTTTTTTGAAAATCGGCCAATTGTCAACTGAATGAGGAACATTCTACATTTTTGTTTGTATATGAAGGCAGGTTGAATTAGAGCCTGTCGCAAATGAACACAAGGTTGCGGCGCGTATTCGTATGCGCATGCGGTTCCATGCAACGCAAGCAAGTAATTCGAGTCCACTATTGATAAATATGAAAACATATGGTCAGATTAGTTTCAGTTTGTTAATAAGACATGCTGGAGCGTACTGCCAAAGGATTTGGAAGCCTTTATTCAGAAACTTCTCGATTTTGACAATGCTTGGGCTACAATTATTTTTGGCCGCAGTGCTATTGAAAGGCAACGACGTCATATCGTAGCAAGTCCCTGATTCGCTCGCGTAGGCATCGCAAACCCGTCTCCCACCGTAAATGTTTACTGCCTTGCAGAATTGAACGTGTTCTACATCTTACTTCTTTCTAATTTGATGTTAAAAGTACTTATTAGTATGTTACGATGAATTGGTCCCTTACTGGGAGTCAACGTACAGTCGTTAGGAGGTTAGCCATGAAGAAAGACGAAAGGTAAGGGAACGGCCTGGAGGAACGGAATCCTTAATCCCCTCGCTGATTTCTGCGCTGGAGCGAACGGTGCTAACGTCATCGGCTTGGCTGCTCTGCTCTGCCTCTCTACAATCGGGTGAAGTCCCTGGCTAGAGTCTGACGGCGAAGGTAGCTAATCGATGGGCGTGAACAGTCCGCAAAAAGAATTCATCGCAACGGGTACGGCCCTGTTAAGCCGCTACGGGCGCACCCTTCGCACAAAAGCCCGAATCGACTCGCTCCTTCAAAGGCAATGATCACGACGGCCGGGGGACAGTGGTGTGGTTTGTGTTAGTCACTGATGTTAAGTTAAGAAGCGGTAGTCAGCACCTACTTCGGGC